GCCGAGTCTTTGGCTGAACTCCGATGCCTGAGGTATAATTAACATGCCTGCCTCGATTCGCCACAGGGTATCCGCAGTCCTGTTTTTCTTTGCATGAACTTTAGGTGAGACAGGAGAAGCTGAAAAAAGGACCCGAGAGTGGAACTTTGGCACTTTCATCATGATTATGCCTGAGAATTTTTCGGCGAACTTCGTCGGGCCTGTGAGGCCATCCTGTAGTGTTTATGGCAGATCAATGTCAGCGTTGACTTCGCATTGAGATGAGCCGTAGCGTAGGTGTGTGGAGAAGTGAGAGGTTCTAAATGTAACCGACCCAAAGACCCGGAATTTACACTTTTACGGGCTGTGTTCATTCAGCTTGACTGCACGACAAACAAGGAACCAGTCAGTTTAGGACAGTAGATCTGTACTTACTTCCACATTTCCACTAACAGGGAAATTCACTGTCTGCTCCTTGCTTGGATTAGTGTACTAAATCCAATTCATTTGTCCGGCGTGAAGAGACTCTGTACAGAGTTTTTATCATGAGGAATTCAGTGATGCAGCAGTTGATCCCCGCAAACCAGGATGATCAAACACCCCCCGCGGTGGAAACGAGCATGGAATCTGATTCAGCAAACCACGCACACACCGTTAACCCAACGAGTCGATGCGCCATCGTCCCACCTTACTCCCACTGTACTCCCCTCTGTTTGCGTCTATCTTCTTTTACGGAACAAGGTTACGGGACGTGCTCATCTGGCTGCGTCTAGGGACTCAGCCTAGGGCCATTGCAGGCAGTTGCATGGTGACCAGTAATAATGCAGGAGGGAATACGGACAAAGGCCAGGTCGACTGAGATGGCCGTTTCTGGCCTGGTAGCTGCCATCAGCCAGCCATATCCAGTCCAGCGGTTGGACAACCCGAGAACCTGAAATACGTCTCCTGACTGCCCGAGTAAAACCGATATAGCGATAAGTTTGTGGCTGAATGGTGAGGTGCCTCAATGCCCAATGGATCCGGACTTGAATCTCAGGTCATGCACGCCCGAAACTGTCTATAGCTGGCTGGTAAGTCAGAGCTGGCCATCCCAGTCTCTCTCGCCTTTGTCGGTAATACCTCCTATCTGAAACATTCGTCGCAGGTGTTAAAATAGGCCATCCTGTTACTAGGTAAGAAGTCTTGTCTTTTGCTGCGACAAAGGTGTCCTGAGATCTTCTCATATTCATTATTCGATTAAGTGTTTCATTTGCCCTGAATACCAGTATTCTTTGACAACTGCCTAGAGCTTATTTGATCTCGTCGGTTCCTTGTTTGGAACCTAAGGCACTGGGTACAATCCACAGTGCCGTCTGTCGTTTAACGTGAGGGTTAACCATTGTCAGGCCTCCTAGGAGCATCCGTTTCTCCAAGGTGTCTAACCAGACCCATTGGTTAGAAGTCCAACATCCTCTTCTAACCGACAGGTCGCGGGACCAAGCCCCAGGTGTTGCCCACCTCGAGTTCGAGTATGACTGGCTGACGTAGGCTAATGAGCCAGAAGCGACCATCCCAGTCTCCCTTGTCTTTATCGGTGATAGTACTTTGCCAATACTTATTCTGTCAGATACCAGTTGGCGAACGTTTGATTTTCATTGACTAGGAGACTTTAACCTTGTCTCTGCCACCTTCCTCAACTTTCAGTCCGCTTTCGTAACTCCGTCAATGTTTCCCGTCCCTAACAGTCCTCGTTTCTTTCAAAATACACCTTACCTTGGAATAACTTATCAGCTGATATTAGGCCAGCATCTAACCTCACAAGACTTAAATGAAAACTGCACCTATATCTTGACACTGGCACCATTACCTCTACCTTCAGCATCCTTTTAGGACAACTTCCTTCACAACTTCAAGACGAGACGCCGTAAATTTGGACATGCGTGAGTTCTCGCTATTGCTATGATGACCGAGGCCTTTTACACCTTCACATCCTTACGTCTAGGTCTCTCCAAATGTACCGTGATGGCGTACATACTTTTATCACGCGTCCCGAAACGCATTCACACAGTCCAAGTATCTCGACCCCTATTGGGCACAATGATCTCACAAGTCCACCTATTTGCCCAGCAGTCCTGGCTTCGTGGCCCCCAGTGATTGATGTGCCGCCCTGGCTTCGCTCACCAGCCCCCCTGGGCGGGATCCCGAATCGGCCCCCCACAGGACTTCGTGGGCGCACTCCCATCCGTCCCACCGTGGGTCTCATACGACCCAGCATTTGCCGGGACACTCACTCTGGAGCATTTGGCCTTGTTTGCCACCTCGCCCTCGACTTAGTTGCTCGAGTTTCCTGTCCGTGAACCCCTTAGCCCTGTATTGCTCATAGGGCGCAAGGTGGAGGTTCTGGTTACCTTGTCTGTTTGGTTTTAAGCTCGTGACAGAAACTGTTGGCACCGACCCGCTAGTTACGTCCATCACATGCTGAGTTTTCCCTCGTCTTCTTCCGACCAAAACAGTCTCCACTCTCACGGTGAATTTGTATTGTTCTTACAAAAATGGCTGGCTGTACGGTCATTGTCCAAATTTAAGGTGAGCATGTGTTTGCGCTGTTTCACGATTGTTGTACCAAGAGTCATGTTCAAGACGGTCAGTAGGGCGGTTTTCTGGCGAGTCACCTGGTCCAGCCAGGTCAGTCCCGTATCTGGCCACAATTACCACACTAGAGAGAAGGGGTTGCTCGACCTGTTCTCACAGCTGCGTCCGAAAGGGTTTTTGTCGCGCTGATGGGCAGCTGGCGTTGGTGCACAGATAGAGGAGTTGCGCGGGTAGCTGTGAGGTGAGAGCTAACTTCCGCGAACTCAGTTTCTAAAGGACCCGAGTCTCCGACAGACAGCAGACAGCCACGTCGTCCTGAGGAGGACCATGCCATGAGATCTGGGTACCAAGGTCAGGAAACACACATGCATTTTCGTATTTGGCACGATGAGTCCGTCATCGAGTGGGTACTTCAGGTCACATACCATTCGTATCCCTGGACGCGGATTAAGGAGCGCGTCAGTCCTGGCGGACGCTGTAGCGCGGATTATAGTGGCGAAGACACTCAGGGACTCGTAGCCGACGCGGGTCCCCATAAGAGCTCAAGGTTTACTCCTCTAGCGCTTGGTCGTCATAGCCTACGCGCAGGACAGTGGTGGCGCCTCCTAGAAGGCCCGCTCATTTTCGGCCAACCTTTGCTGACGGCCGTTCTACTATCAAGTACCCGTGGACGCATCGGACAAACCCCCTCCCCCCGCTTATCTTCACTGTTGACACCCACTGACAGGGTACTAAATATAGGAGCGGGGAATTAAGCACCGTCAAGGGGATGCCTAATTGCAATATTTACCTCAAGTCCGCCATCAGGGCGTCTTGTCTGTTGCTTTCCTGGCAAGACTCCCGAAAGTTCAAAATGTCAAGTTCCTTTTGCTGATACTAGATCCCATTCCCCCAACTGAAACATGAGCACAGTGGTCCACGAAGACAACTCTTTAGACATCTGGATGACAAGTAAACCAATGCCCAACACATCGGCATTGGTATGGCATCGAGAGGGTGAGCACGCAAAACAGTTGCACAAGGAATACCCTAAAAGCCTGATTGTCGGCGACAGGCAGTGGCATTTGCCTAGGCGATTTTTTCTCGAGGTCGAGTACTCGTAGTCCTCTGACTGCTAGACATGCGCGCGTCCTATAATGCGAAACGACGAGCGTGTCCATAGTAGTATTGAGTACAACTCTGTCGGTCGATTTTAACATCCGGATACATACTATGCGACGCATGATTGGCGACACTTATGGACTATCTTGACAAGACCAAAAGTAATACCAGTACCCATTTCTTGCAACGAATGTGGGTGGGGACATTAATAAAACACGTATATTCCGTGCAAAATCAGGTTACTGTGGGGGACCCATATGCGGTACCCCGGGGGCAGGCATCAGAGGGCGTATCCCAGGCGTTGGCAGAGTCGCTGAGGGAAGTGGCACACCACCAGCACCAACAGGCATAGGCGGCATGCTTCCAGGTCCGGGTGTCCAAGCATGTGGCATTGGGGCACCCAGGGGAATCCTCATCCCCGGAACCATACCCTGTGGTGGTCCCATGCCTAGTGGAGGGACGCTCATCAGCGGCGGAAAGCCGGGTGGGTAGGCAGGCATCCCTGCTGGATTTTGTATTCCCGGTGGAGGTATTCCCATCGCGGCTCCAAACATAGGCGGCGGAACTTTACCCTGTTTGTATGCCTCAGCTAGCAAGGTGGAATTAGTAAAATTTTGAAACTCACAGGCATGATCAACCAGCTTCTGCACCTGATCCTCCAACCACTTTCGGTAGTAATCACTCACGCTATTTTTGTGGGTTCTGCCGGTGCAGTGTGTCTTGCGCACAGACGGAGAGTCATGCGTCAAAAACTTGTCACAGTAATCGCAGTAGTATCTAAGAAAGAGTTTAAATTATGAAGGAATTCATGCAGACGAGCGCTGCTTGTATGAAGCACTTACTTTGGCATCTTTTGGGTTGTTGTTGTTGTGATACACAACGACCTGGGTGGGGGGAAGTTTAGACGAGGATGCAGAATTAAAATTTCAAACAGGCAAATAGGATGAATACCAACGGCAGGATATAATTGTTCGCCAATTATAAGCGAGGGTATTTTTACTTGACAAACGAAAAATCTAGTTATAAAGCAGCTAAATACCGAGCAAGTAAGGGGTGGAGAAACGACGACGCAATCAGCTGCGGTCGCAAGTGCATAGTTAACTGGTGGCGAGGCCGTTGCGGGACGCATAAGCCGGGAAAGGAGATTCGGCAATCAGTGGCCGGCTTGGGTTGGTTTGCTTTGCTGTTGAGTGCTGCAAAAGAAAGGGACCAGCCATAGAGACGAGATACCGCGCATCACAATACAGCCATGAAGACCACCTATGACATGCAAAGTCCGCAGTGCCTACGACTCTCGTAATCGGGCCTTTGCGCAGCGCCGCACATTCCGTGGCAACGTTTTTTCCACCCTTAAATTTCTCATGGTCGTCCGCTAAACTGCTGCTTGGACCCACTTGCATATCTGGAAGTTAACTTTTCAGTCATGCCTCAAACTCGCTCCACCAACCTTCACCAAACTGCAATCGTTCTTACTACCCCGCTCTCCCAGTATCATCTGACACTTCCCAACCCCCTCCGGACCACCTTATTCGAAACCTCTGGCGATTTTGACGAGCAAGAACTCTGCAATGCGTATCCCCAGGCCCTTGCCCGTCCGCCTTCGATAAATTCTAAGGCAGCTTGTCTGTCGCTTTTTTTCAGTCCTTATAACCCGCCACGACGATTTCAGTTTCCTCTTCGTCCCGCAGCAACCCTGAGACGCACTTCGTTATCAGTTCAATCCCTGAGCTCAAGAGCTTAACGGGAACGCCCATTATTACTTTGACGTCCTCCCCCTGGCTCACTGGGCCTACCCAAGCACGGATGCGTCGCAGCAGATCTCAGACCGTCTTGTCTGTGATCTCCGGTCAGAAAACGCAAAACAGGAGTTCCGAATTTGAACGCCCGCGCATCTTTACACGGTTCTCTCTGAAGTCAAAACTTTCGAGTCCGCCTCATCTCCCGGGTGTCTAGCACTCTTCCTAGTTGCTGACAACCATCTGACCAGGAAACCGACTTTCCACCCACTTTCTTATTGGTCGGGTAATTATGGCACGCAAAAAGGGCACTTTCCCCGTCTATTCTTTTATCTATCGGAGTATCAGGTAGATGTGTGTTCAGGTGCTTGCCGACCCTTATGCGTTAAGGTGAAAGAGCGATTCAAGACATCTATACAGCTGAGTGACCAACGTTCTAAATGTCTTTGGCCATTACAATGGTGATGGCCGTGGCATAGATTGGCCTATCTGTTGTGCTGGGATGATTAACTCTCACGAATCAAATTCGGAAGTGTCACTCTGCAAGAGGATTATCCTCCACAGGGATACTACACGACGTTGCAGGACCCTACCTCTCTCGGAGATTATGTGGACAGAGGCATTGTGACATCGTAATGTGCCCCAACACTTAAGGACCGACGAATGCCTAGAAAGGGCAGAGATCCGTTTTAGAGGTATTCCCAATAAGCGGAAATGGAACAACAAAAAACGAGCAAGGAACGGAGAAACAAGAAACTGAGAGGCCGAAAGTATGCTCTATCTTGCACCATACCTCCACACAAGCAACCAATCTCCTTAACATTCTAAACACTCTTTCCGTCCGACTCTGCATTGACCTGGTTATAAAGGGCATTCAACATCGGTTTTCTAGTAAATAGAGAGAATTACGTTAGAATCCTTCACACAATACTCCTGGGCGTTGTATCATGTATCATGCATCACTAATACGGACGGGGGCTTTGTTGGAATCGTCAAGGAAACTTCGGCGAGGATTTAGGATGGACTTGGTGTGTCCTAGCATCAGTGTGAATACCCGGTGTCCCACCTCCCAAAAACGCTGACAAGTCCCCAAACCCCGCTTGCGAATCTGCCTTTACGATAAGCACTTCCAGTAGCGATGTAATCTGTGACGGTCCTGGCAGAGCTTTTGCTAAGAAAATTAAGAATATGAATGCTTGCCGCGGGTGCGAACGTTGTAGTGTTAGGAGTGTATATGGGTAAAGAGAGCATAGAGTTGGAGCTTCCCAATTCATGTCTTGTGATCGAGGTCACAGTTTGATATTTCCCATAGATTTACGATACCTAGTTTATCTGGGCATAGTAAAAAGGTTGCTCAGTTTGTAGGTCAAAAACCATCGTGCAAAAGAAAGTGGTCGCACAACGTTTTCAGTACTTAAGATGGTGATGGTGAAGGCTATAGACGATAGGTCACGCTCCATAAACGCATGTCTTCCGGCGGAATTTTCCCACAGAAGTAGATATTTAGGTGACTTTGAGTCGTGGAAGGCAGTTTGCATTAGATATCGCTCTTGTTTTTCTCTCTGAAATCCTGCCCCAATCATTTCCTACTGTACTTGCTGCTCTCTACTGCTCTAAGATTTCTAGCTTGTAGTTGGTACTATTTGATCGCACATTTCTCTACGTTGTACGGCGACGAGTGCATGGTCTAAAATGCCCACAGCCCAGTACACATTGAGAATGAAGAAACGCGTCATGGTGCCTTGGACTCTCTTTAGTCCCACAAATAGAGGTGAATATGCGAGTTCCAGGTTCTTGTTGCAAAGATGATTAACATGCAACCACTTGAACAGCACATGTAGCAGCCTGAGCTATCGGTCTCGTACAGGAGGCCATCATCAGAGACTGGGAATGCAATGTCAAATGAGCAGTTTTGTTTGACTACAAGTGATCGCGCGTTAATCCTCCTTTTCGTCTTTTCCTTTCGAAAGTTTTAGGTAGGTCAAGGAAGTTGCTTGGAAGGCCTTTACGACCTCCCCAGCAGATAGCCTGACTTCTAAGTAAGGTAGAGGTAACCGCGTGCGACCCATCGAGGTCACCTTTAAGAGGCTTCCTTCATAGGCATGAGGGACCAGTACCATCTGGATGCGAAAACAGTTGGCAATATGAACGCCTGCTCACAGGAAGCTTTTGCACGGACATCACACCGGCCAATAGATTCCATAGCGTCGGCAGTAAGATAGTAAGTGTTAAAAACGCACTTTTCGATCATGGTGGATGTGTAGGCTGAATACTCAGTGAATTCACCAACATTTCTGACTACTTTGACTACCCAAAGATGTCTTCACTTTTTGCCATCAGCTGCGTGCCCTTGCCAAAAAAATTCACCAAGTATTTCTGCTTTTCATGGGAAAACCATTACATACTAGTTCAAATTATTAAGAACTTCCAGAGCGCCACTTACTGTCCTTTCGTCTTTGCGAAGTGCTCGCGAACCCTACAAACGCACAGCCCACATAGTGAGTAATTTGCGAGTATTATAAGAAGTGGCCATAGTAACGGAAAGACCACTTCACCTAATTTCCTGTGCATTTGTAGATATTATCATGAACGACTTCTCCTTCCATCGAATTTCTCAGCGACAACAATGGCCAGCGATAGATGAGGCGCTCTACCTACTAGGAGGTGAAGGCGTATCACCGTCAGCAAGTCGCACAAAACAACGCTGTTAGACTTTTCAAGAAACGCAGAACTCCAATGATTTTTTCGACACCCTCCCACTAGGAGACCAGTCGAACGATCGCAATGTCACTTTTCCATCGAGTCATTCTTCTAAAGTGTTACCAGACACCGATCGAGAGCGTATCGGCCAACGCTACAAAAAATATTGTAGTGGAGAGCCAACATAATCTGCCGGGTCATCGGCGAATGTTGCAGACGATGATTCTCCAGTGGCCAACAACTTCCGGCCAGGTAGCTGCCCAGCTGCCGAGGGATCCTGTAGCCCAACAGCTACGTTCGGTGGCTAGGTTCCACCCAGTGAATATACGACTACTGGACACTGATTTCCGAAACCACCTTTTGTGTTAGACTTCATTCCAAGTATGCCTCGGTTGGCACAGTGTTGACGACTTCGTCAAGCGAATATTTCTCGTTTTGTTCGATGACGAAATTAGCACGTGTATTAATTCCAAAGAACGGGAAATTAAGGAGAGCCTGCGCGGATCCAAACTTTACGAGGTTATAGTTGGTATGTTTGTCGTCACTTGTATCACTACAGTACTCAGAGGTCTTCAGTGAAAAGGGATAAAAACGGTGCCGCAAGGTTATCTGGCCTCTAGTCTGCGTTCACCAAGCGGGTAAAAAGGTCGTTGTACAGCTATGTCCAGAGCAACCGAAGAATCACTCCAGCATTCAAGTGGCAAGTTGAATACCAATTTTTCATAACTGATTTCGACTTATAGACAACATTCCCGGGTCATCCTCCGGTAACCCGCCCCCGTCGACACAATTAAAAGTGATGGCGAGCAGCTAAGCGCTGTACATATGCACTAACTATATTTTTAAATACAATTATTCCATATTAGGCGTCTGTAGAGTTACTCGTCTCATATACCATGTTCACTAAATTGAACATAATGCTTTAGGGCGAAGGGGAGGGAAAAATAGAGGTAAATTTAAAGGAGCTGGGAGTCAGAATGGGTATTGCTTTAAGAAAATGGTTATAGGCGTACCGTATTACATCCGATTTCCGGCGCCTGCGGAATATCTCGACAAATAGACGTTAACTCGATACAGTTTGTTACTAAGGAGCTGCACGTCAGATCGTGGGACTTGGGGACGTGTCAGCGCTTGAGAGGGAGGGACACCGGGTCGCACCGACCCCATCCTGGATGTCCGCAAAGGTTTCTAGCGCGACCGCCCAGACAGAGCATCCGTCAGCCTCACTGGTGCAACGTCCCTTGAACTGTCCAGGGTTGTTTGAATGATGTGACACTTTTTGAAGCGCAGATCCAGTATGAAGACAATGTGATCGTGTTTTGACGATAATAATCGGTGTTCTGCAGGACATGTCCTCAGGTCTCCCGCCGACTCCTCTCCCGCTGTCACCGTGCCGTATTTTCCGCTCTACTGA